CATCTGGAATTGTGCATAGGTGCAATGATGATTGTCAAAATTCAGAACAAATATTCTCCAGAAATCAAACCATGCACTTATTCTTGCCAATCAAGAGTGCCAGGATACTTCATTTATTTATTTTAGTTGAACCAAGACTCTCTGCAAACTGTAATAATTCATTCTTAACTTATTTTTATTTAGTCAGGAAGTTTTGTTCTTCCAGTGAACAGCACATTGTTAATCAAAAAAGGGGGGGAGGTCGCATCATCTCACATTCTGCCAATAGCTTCAATAACAATCCAATTGAATGAGATTCGTGTTTAGATAAAAAGAATTATCTGAAGTATCCAATATCAAGAACGTGGCAAGGTTTAGTGGTCTTCTCAATTGCTTGACGGAAGGTTTTGTTTCGTGGGGTGTCGTTGAGCATGTCTAGATACGACGTAGTACCGATGAGGGGTTTACGGTTACCGACTTCTGCAGTTTCGTTTTCTTCTATGACTACCCATTCCGAGTTGCCGGTGAGCAGGTCAAATTTTAGCTGGAACATTCGCTGAGTCGATCCGGAGGAGGAGAAACAGCTCATGGTTCTAGCGGAAGCTGGCGTGGTGGTTCTGCGGTTCAACCGATTGACAATAAGGCTCTTGAAAGTGTAACAGCGCGACAGCTGGAGGAGGAGAATGTGGGTTCACGGAAGAAGACAGCACGAGACGTGGAGAGTGCCCGCTTGGGATTGTCACGGTCGGTTCCTTTCGTAAATGTATATTTTTCCCATATAAGTCCCCAACTTTATAGAATAGTTTCACTTTGGACACAAAACTATCTTTATTCCAACTATTGACTCAACTTCTAATTTTATTCAAATACAAAATAATACACAAATTTTTGATGATTTCATTGATAGCAATGGATGGCTCTTGTGACTTAAAATATAGACATTCAGCCACTAATTTAAAAAACAAACAATTTCGAATAATCAAATAAGTTAGAAACAAATTTGATTTATCAGAATATTTATATTTAGACTTGAAGTTTGATGCTGAGTGATCCAATTTAGATATTTTATGAATCGAATTGATTTCTATTAAGAAATATGAATATGATTCTATTTTCAGGTTATGACAACTAATCCTACAAAGTATTGG